TCCACCTTCACTCTCAATGTCGCCCTCAACCACAAGGGCCTGGACTATGAGGTAAGCCGCAGCCAGCCCCCCACATACCCGCACTTTACCCTGGGCCTCCTGCCCCTGCCTGGGCCTTTGGGCAGTTCCCCAGGTGTTTTGTGAGTGTCGTCTCCTGGATCCCTTCTGGGGGCGCCTCCCTCTGTCCCCCTGGCCTGTATCACAGCCCTGCCTGCCAGGCCCCCTCGGACCTGCTCACCCCTCCATCCCCCATGGCTGCTCACCGCTCATTCTCTGTCCCCTTCCCTCCCCAGGGAGGTGGCTGCCGCTTCCTGCGCTATGACTGTGTGATCTCATCCCCGAGAAAAGGCTGGGGGCTCCTGCACCCTGGCCGCCTCACCCACTACCACGAGGGACTGCCCACGACGCGCGGCACTCGCTACATCATGGTGTCCTTCGTTGACCCCTGACGCTCAGCCACTCTGCCAAGTCTTCCCTGCCACCGTGCCTTGGGGGGCCTGCCCCCCCATCCTTGGAGAGGCGGCTCTGCCCATCTCCTCTCTTCCTGAGTATGTCCCTTGTGCCTGGGACGGAATGTGTCACCTCACCCCACCCAAGGCCCTCTCAGGAAGCCCCTGGAGCCCCCACTCCACTCTGCAGCCCCCGGGGCTCATGGGAAAGGGTTCCTGGGGTCCCCATGTGATAAATTATTAAGGTTTCTCAGCCCCCTCCCAGTAAAGGAGGATTTGTAACTCTCGGGTCCATGTGTCATCTTTCTTCTACCTGTTGACCTCGTCCCCCTTCCTGGCACCCAGAGGAGAGGGGAGACCCCTGATTTCCTCCAGAGGGAGGAAGAGAAGCGGGGTGTTCTGCCTGTGGAGGGGCCTGGCAGCTTCCCAGGGGACCACATCCTCTGTCCCCTTTGCTGCCTGAGCTGGAGAGTGCTTGAGAAGGCTGCAGCACCAGAGGACACAGGGTCAGACTCAGGGTCAGGCGCAGATGAGAGCCCTGAAGAGGGAGGGGTGGCGAGCACTGAGCCAGGCTCCAGGGACAGTGCTGGGGAAGCAGATCTCTCCAGAAGCTGGTCTCCAATAAGGAAGGACAGGGTGGAATCCTGCCTGCCACCTGCCAACAGCTGGGACCTACGCTTTTACTGGGACAAGATCTGGAGAGCCCTCTGGAGGGAGCCCCAGGAAGCTTCCTGGAATAGGGGAACTTGGAGCACACTCAGGGAGGGGAGACTCCTGAGAGCAGGTCCCCAGTCCAGCCTTCAATCCTTAATCCTCACAGCCAGCCCAACACTAAATCCTCTAGATTTATCTCCCTTTGAAGCCTTTTCAAACTCAACAGGCTTGTTTACCTATTCTGGGACCTTCCTGCCTCTGGACCTCTCCCCACCCAAAGCTAGGATCCTCCCCTCCCTCCCCCTGCCCAGCCTCCCTCCCCCTGCCCAGCCTCCCTGAAAACCTCACTACTGACACCTTCCTTACTGGTAGGGGGGCTGGTCATCGCTCCCCATGGGTGAACATCTTTCTGGCCAGACTTCCAAGTCCCTCTCACTTCATCTGCCACCACCCTCATGCTGTGACCTGTGGGTGAAAGTGGGCTGGGCAGGGACAGGAGAAAACACTCCTGGAAGGGTCCCTGGATGGGGAGGCCTGCAGGAGAGTGAGGCAGGCAGGGACAGGGACTGAAGGAGTACACCCAGGCTTTGTGACAGGGCCTGATCACCGGAAGCTGGCTGTGTCTGTCTTCTCCATTCATTTATTGACACCTGAACTCTAGGTGCTGAGTGAGTCACATGATGGGCATGATAGCTGTCCTGTCCTCTCCTCACTTAACAGTCTGGAGGAGATGACCTTAATCGGAGAATTGCCCCAGAGATGGGAAAGTATTTTATGGTACAAGAGCATGTAACAAAGGCACCTGTGGGGGTGGGGATGATCAGCCATCCCTAAAGAAATGACATTCAGCAGGATGCCTGGTACATCCCAGCAGCTTGGGGGCTGAGAAAGGAGGATTGTGAGTTGAAGGGTAGCCTCAGCAATGGCGAGGCGCTAAGCAATTCAGTGAGACCCTGACTCTAAATAGCATACAAAATAGGGCTGGGGATGTGACTCATTGGTCAAGCGCCCTGAATTCAATCCCCAGTACCAAAAAAAAAAAAAAAAAGAGAGAGAGAGAGAGAGAGAGAGAGAGAGAGAGAAGTGACATTCATACTAGCAGATCAGGAGGCTGAGGCAGGAGGATTGCAAGGTCAAAGCCAGGCTCAGCCCAGTCCAAAAAAATTAAAGTGACATTCCCTCACTCATCTCCGCAGGCCTCTGGTCAATATTGGGGATAGGTCAATACTCTCATGGTGATAGGATGCTCAAGAGCATGTCCCACTGTTTAGAAGGCCCTGTCTCCAGGGGTTCACCAATCTTTAGCCATTCCCACAAAGCCCTCCTCTCTGGAGTGACTCCCCCAACTGCCCCAGAGGCCTGAGCTGCTCCTTAAGGAATAGGCCCTCCACAGCCCTGCCCCCAGGATCAGGGCTGGTGACTATAAGATTTTCAAGTTGTTCTCCCTGGTGTCCAGAGCTCTGCCCTTAACAGCATGCCGGGATCTCTACCGGCCTGGCTCCTGCAGAGGCCTGGGCTCTGACCACCAGGACACTCAAGGCCTTTCTCCAGGCTCCTGGCCACACCCCCAGTCATTTAGGTGTGGTCCTATTGGTCATAGCCTGTGGGCTCAGGGACTGATATTCCTTCTCATTCAGGCTCCAGAGGCTCAGGGGGCAGGTCAGCAACAAGGGCGGAACTTGGGGCGGAACCAGGACCAGGGGTCAAGGTCAGTGGACTGAGCCAAAAAGGAGGTCGGTAAGCGTTTGTACATTGTCCCTATGTGACTCCCCTCTGCGGAATGGAGGCCTCTCCCAGCCTCCTTTGCCAGAGTCTCCAAGCATTCGCCGTCCTGCAGTGGGTCTTCTCCTTCTTGGGACTGGGTGAGTCCCCAGAGCCTGAGGATACAGGCAAACCTGGCACTTGGGCTCTGCTTCCCCGTTCTCCAGAGGAAGACAATGTAGGGCTCTTTGGGCTCCTGAGGGGAGTCTGAATGCAGCGGAACTAGGAAAGGGCTGACGGGAGGCTGGGCTTGAACACCTGAGCCCTGAGTGCGCCTCCCTTGTTCTCCAGGCTCCGTGTGCCTGGTGGCCCTGCTCCTGGCTCTCCTAGGCCGGGCCTGGGTCCTGGTTGTCCTTTACCTGATCTGGCTCTATGGAGACAGAAGCACACCCAGGGCTGGCGGCCGGCGCTCTGCCTGGGTCCGCAACTGGGCCATCTGGAGACATTTCCGAGACTACTTCCCCATATCGGTGAGGCCTGGGAAGGTGTAGTGGGGATGGGGCTTCAGGACACTCTTGGGACAGTCATCCCCAAAGCCCAGTCTCACCTGCTGGATGGGGTGCCCTCTGCTCCCCAGCTAGTCAAAACCGCAGAGTTGGATCCCTCCCGGAACTACCTCTTTGGCTTCCACCCTCACGGCGTCCTGGTGGTAGGGGCCTTCGGCAACTTCTGCACCGAGGCCACCGGTTTCTCCCGCCTCTTCCCTGGCCTCAGGCCACACCTGCTCATGCTGCCCTGCTGGTTCCAAATCCCTATCTTCCGGGACTACATCATGACCAGCGGTAAGGAGGAGGAAGTCCAGGCTCAGAAGCCTGAACCCAGGCCCCTGCTGTCATTTACCATTTTCTCCCCTCCTCTCCGGGCTACTAGGCCCAGCTCCGCCTTCCCAGTGTCTTCCCCTGAAAACCCAGGCGTCGGGTCCCCTAACCTCTGCCCTCCTCCAGGATTGGTCTCCTCTGACAAGACCAGTGTTTCCTATCTGTTGTCCCGTCCTGGGGGCGGCCAGGTGGCCGTCCTGGCCGTGGGAGGGCCCCTGGAGGCGCTGGAGGCAAAACCCGGAGCCTTGAGCTTGCGGATCCGGAATCAGAAGGGATTCGTCAAGGTGGCCCTGGAACACGGGTGAGGAGCGTCGGGTGGCTGGGGGGTCCACCCGGGCTGCCCACGGGGAGGAGCACCGCGCGCCCCGCGGCCGGGGTCAGCGGTGCGCCTGCCCCTCCAGGGCCTCGCTGGTGCCTGTCTTCTCGTTTGGGGAGAACGAGCTCTTCCGGCAGTTCCCGAACCCCCGGGGCTCGTGGGTGCGGAGGGCGCAGGAAGCGCTGCAGTCACTGCTGAGCGTGGCCCTGCCGCTGTTCCACGGCCGCCTGGGCCTCCTGATGCCCTTCCGCTCGCCCATCCACACCGTCGGTGAGCCCGGCCCCTGCGCTCCCGGCCCGGCGCCTGCTCCCTGCTCCCCTGCTCCCCAGTTCCCCGGCGCCTGCTCCCTGCTCCCAGCTCCCCGGCTCCTCTGCTTCCCAGCTCCCTGGCTCCCTGCTCCCTGCTCCCTGCCCGCCACGCGCGGGTTAGGCCCTGGTGTCCCGGCTGGCTCTGCCCCACGCGTCTGGCACGTCGATCTCGTCCTCCGGGCCGGCCTTTTGCAATCGCCCCAGGCCTGAACTCTGTCCTGGCCCATCCCCGTGGCCAGCGGCGGGGGCGGCGGGCCAAGCATCCTAGCGACCGGCCCTGTCGCCTCGGGTTCCTCCCGCAGTGGGCGCAGCGATCCCAGTGCAGCGAAGCCCGCGGCCCAGCCGGACGCAGGTGGACGCGCTGCACGCGCTCTACGTGGAGCGCCTCACGCAGTTGTTCGAGGAGCACAAGGAGCGCTACGGAGTCCCAGCAGACAGGCACCTCGTCCTCACTTAGGCGCCCTCACTTAGGCGCGCCCTGCTGGCCCTGCCCTTTCCCCTCGGTGACCGCAGGTGGGGGAGTGGAATTAAAGATCGGAACAGACCCGCGCGTTTGTGGTGTTTGTGCCCGGTGGGGAGGTCCAGCGCGTGCCAGCTCTCCTGGGGAGCCTTGACTCCCCTAGGGACCTGCAAACAAGTCTTGCCAGGGGCCCCTGCTCGGCTGCAGTGGAGATCAAAGTCTCAGCTGGGATCCAGGCTCCCCACTGGGACCCAATGAGGGGGCTGGCCAGCTCCTACCTGCCCCCTGCCCACCTCACCTCCTCAGGCACCGGGTGCCGCTCCTCCCCCTGCATACCCACTTCCCCGACTCCCAGCCCCACCCAGAGTCCTGCCCAGACCAACTGACCGGAAGAAGTTCAAAGATTAGACCAAAAAGCCTAGAGACTGCTGAGGCTCCAGGTCCAGAGATCTCCCCACACCCCGAGGGGTAACTGCTAGCAGCCAGAGTGCCCAAACCTTCATCATCGGTCCTGCTGGGATGGGCCGCTCCCAGGTCCTTCAGTCCTCACCCTCCCTCCAGGGGAAAACCCTGCAGAAGCAGGCGCTAGAAGTAGCGGGTGCCTACCAATATGTGCTGACCTTCATCTTCATGGGTGAGTGGGCAGGGTGGGGCATTGCTGCAGGGAACCAGGGCACAAGGGCACTGAGGGTGGATGGCTAGGGCCAGGCCTGGATGCCCTGGGGCCAAAGGACAGGGCCAGGGCCAGAGGAGAAGGCCAGGGCTTGGTGTTGGAAGCTGGGACTGTGGGTGGGAGCGGTGGGGAGGGGAGAGGCTGGACTTCATGACAGAATTGCAGAAGTCAGTCTGGTTTTCTGGGTCACCTCCCCCCAGGCCTGTTCTTCACCCTTCTCATGGTCTACCTCCTCTTCACGTCTCTCTGGGCCTTCTCTGTCCTCTACTTGGTGTGGCTCTACCTGGACTGGGACACACCTAACCGAGGTGAGCTCTGGACAGGGTCCCCGGTGGTGACAGAAGGTAAGCAGGTGCTGCCAGGGACCCTTCCACCCCCATCTCTGCCCTGCAGGTGGAAGGCGCTACATGTGGATGAGGAACTGGACGATTTGGAAACACCAAAGAGATTATTTTCCAATCAAGGTGATGGGTCACCACCCAGAGAGATGGTCACCTCCCCCGCCACATGCCTCCTCACCCCTCCCCATCCTGGATCCTGTACCCTGCTGCCAAAGCTCAGGCAGTGGCTAAGAGAGTGGGCTCTCCGAGTCCTTGACCCCATCCTAGGACCTTGACCTCTGAAGCCTGTTGGGGCAGAGGACACCTCTTCTTAGCTGGTGACTTACCTGCTGTGCCCCCTCCTCATCTTGCCCAATACCCTGCAGCTAGCGAAAACAGCAGAGCTGCCCCCCAACCGGAACTACGTGCTGAGCTCCCACCCACATGGGATCATGGCCAACGGCATCTTCTGTAATTTCTGCACCGACAGCAACAACTTCTGCCAGCTCTTTCCTGGGCTTCGGCCCCACCTGGCCACGCTGGCTGGCCTATTCTGCCTCCCAGTCTTCCGAGAATACATCATGTTCCATGGTGAGCTTGAAGCTCAACGGGAGGAGGCACACAGAGGCCAGAGGGCTCTCCCCGGCCCCAGAACTCCCCCCACACCAGGACCCCCACTCAGGACAGGGACCCGGCCTGAGCATTGGCATGAGGTCAAAGTGGGCCCCAGTTGGGGATGCTGGTGCGGGGACGGGGAAGGTGGGGTTTTGAAGGAACGGAATGTGGGGCTCACTCTTCCGGTACTAAAGGGTGGGGCTGAGGGGCTGGGGAGTCTTGGGGGAGGTGGTGACTGCCCCCCGCTGCTCATGTCCACAGGATTGTGTTCCGTGAGCCGCCAGAGCCTGGATTTCATCCTTTCACAGCCCCAGCTTGGGCAGGCCGTGGTCATCCTGATTGGGGTGCCCAGGAGGCCCTGTATGCAGTCCCAGGAGACGCAAAGGCTTCGTACGCCTGGCCCTGAGGCACCGGTGAGTGGAGGAGCAGGAGCTGGTGGCTGGCTGAGGGACCTGTGCTTCCTCAGCCCCTGATATAGGGGTCCCTGTAGCTGGGAGTCGTGTCCCACATCTGGAAGCTCCTGTCAGCCCTGGAGTATCTTTCTCTCTGACCAGCGCTGTCCTGATTCCCCCAGGCCCCCCTGCTGCGAGTCAGGCTGGGTCAGAGTGCAAGTGGCAGGGCCCTGCAGCTCAGAAGCCCTGACCCTCTCTCAAAGGTCAGACCTGGGACTGAGCAGGGACATTCTCTTGCTGTAGGTTGTCAATATAAAGACCAAATGAGAGAAGGAATATGGGAAGGTCACATGCCACACGACCACATGCCAAGAAATGCGAGCCCTTTCTTCTAACTCATGTGCTTCGAAAGGCCCTGGAATGTGGCGTCAAGAGGCCTGGGGAGGCCTTGCTGCCCCTCAGGGTGCTTGTGTGGCGGCTGTCCAGGAGCTCAGTCACCCACCCTGTGTCAGTCAGCTATCCGTTGCTATGACAAATTATCACTGAGATAATCAATGTATTAAGAGAAAAGGTTAATTTGGCTCACAGTTTTGGAGTTTTCAGCCCAGTATTGGTTGACTCCATTGCTGGGGGCCACTGGCGAGGTAGCACATCATGGCAGAAATATGTAGAGGAATAATCCACTTGCCTTATGGCCAGACACGAAAAAGAGGAAGGAAGAGGAAGAGTTTAGAGTCTATCTCCTTCAAGGCCATTGCCCCAAGACCCAAGACTTCCCACCAGGCCCCACCTCCTGAAGGCTCCCCTGCCACTCAATAGCACACTCTGGGGATGGAGCCTGCCACACATGGGCCCTTGGAGACACCTTTCCTCTCTTGCCCACCTTCCCAGGGCCTCCCTGGTCCCCGTGTATTCCTTTGGGGAGAATGACATCTTCAAATTGAAGACCTTTGCCGAGGACTCCTGGCAGCATCTGTGCCAGGTCACCTTCAAGAAGCTCATGGGTTTTTCTCCTTGCATCTTCTGGGGCCGAGGCCTCTTCTCGGCCAACTCCTGGGGTCTGCTGCCATTCGCCGTGCCCATCACCACGGTGGGTGAGTGCCATGTCCCGGGAAGAGAGTCACCCGTGGCTGCGTGGGCAGCGGAGGCCTCTTGCTCACCGGGGTCCCCTTTCCCTGTAGTGGGCCACCCCATCCCTGTGCCCCGGTGCCTCAGCCCCACGGAGGAACAGGTCGACCACTACCACGCACTCTACATGAGGGCTCTGGAGCAACTGTTTGAGGACCACAAGGAGAGCTACGGTGTCCCTGCGTCTACCTGCCTCACCTTCCTCTAGACCTGGCCTTGGACTCCCAGCTGAGCCCTGAGCCCAGGGTGCAAACACCTCTACTTCCTGCCACTCCATCCTCTAATAAACGCCAGTTCTAGAAGCAAGCTTGTCTAGCTTTGTTGACCCCTCGCCTCCCGATAAGCCGCAGAGCTGCTGTGTGACCTTGGATAGGTCTCTCAACTTTGCTGAGCCCCTCTGTAAATAAAGACAATGGCTCAGCTAAGAGCTGCCAGGCATCAGGACAGAGTTGGAGCAGGTCGCTGCACGGAGAGGTATCTTCGAAGAGTGAGCAGGATTTAGGGAGAGGGAGAAGTTAGGGTGGGTGGTGGGACCCCATGGGCAAAACCGAGCGTGATCAAGGACGCTTGGAAGATGGAGGGATGGAATGATCCCCGGGGTTGAAGAGAGAGAATTAAATACGAAGCTGGCTTCTGCCCCTCCCCCTCGGCTTTTAGATTTCCTGGGGGGCCAAGGATCAAGTGGAGACAGGATTTAATTTCCAGGGTGCTTCCTTTTCCTGCAGAGCCTGGGGCTCAGCAATTTGTGGACTCTGAAGATTATACCAATTAAGGTTTAAGGACCTGGAACAGAGAGGGGCCTACAGGAGGAGCCAGTTCTCCTCCTCGTGACTGTCCTCATTAAGACTTTATGGCCTAGCCAGGCATGGTGAGTCACATCTGTACCCCAGCAACACCGGAGACTGGGGCAGGAGGACCACAAGTTCAAGGTCAGCCTGGGCAATTTAGTGAAATCCTGACTCCAAATAAAAAAGCAGCCTGGGATGCAGCTCAGTGGTAAAGTGCCCCTGGGTTCAGTCCCCAGAGCCCCCCAAACAAACAAGCAAACAAAAAACCTTCAGGGTTTAAGATGCTGTGTGGCCTCAGCATCTGCTAATTTTTTTTTTCTTTTACTAGGGATTTAATGTAGGGGTGCTTAACTGCTGGGAGCCATTAGCCAAGTAGGTATGACAATTTCCTTGCCAGCGTACCCCATGTTGCAGTGACATTGAATGTACGTGACCTTGCTCAAGGACCAAGGCAGATTAGGGTGTTCCCGGTTTTAAGATAATCGTGTTTAGGGTGTTCCCAGTTTAGGTTCCAGGTTTAAGGTTTAAGATTATTCCTGCTGGGAATAGGGCGTATCCTGCTGCCTGAGTTCCCCTTAAGTTCTCACGGGATTCAGACAGTATATTTTGGAGATAGAAGCCCAGTGGAGGTGGATTTGGGCAGAGAACGTGGATTTGGGCAGAGAACGTGGATTTCTCCAGAACGTGATTGTAGACGGCTGGTGTGAGTTCGGGAATAAAGAGTTGCTGTTTGAATCTACAAGCTGTGCGGTGGCTCGTGATTGTGTGCCCAGCCAGACTGCGGCATTTGTGCCCAGCCAGACTGCGGCACTTAACCACTGAGCCACCTCCCCAGCTCAGTGATTAATTTTGAAACAGAGTCTCAGTAAATTGCTGAAGGTCTTTCTAAATTGCCTTGACTGGCCTCAACTTGCAATCCTCCTGCCTCAGACTCCCAAATTGCTGGGATTATAGGTGTGAGCCATCACCCTGGCTACCCTCTAACTTGTATCATTTTTTTTTTAAAAGAGAGAGAGAGAGAGAGAGAATTTTAATATTTATTTTTTAGTTTTCGGCAGACACAACATCTCTGTTTGTATGTGGTGCTGAGGATCGAACCCGGGCTGCACGCATGCCAGGCGAGCGTGCTACCGCTTGAGCCACATCCCCAGTCCTTGTATCATTCTTATATGCCGACTGGCTTTGTGTTTGTAGCCAGGTCTAGAACAAGAATAAACTTGTCAGGATGTAATTGGAACTGTACCTTCGCTTGCCTTCCATTGACCCATAACTTGTGGAAGAACTTCCCCTTGTCCCTGGAGGAGGATCTAGCAGTTCCCTGACTCTTCTGCTCAGCCTCAGATACCAAGTTCTACGTTCACTTTAAGTTGGTGCAAAGAAATGGTCAGTGGATGTGGTCACCCGCACACTGATCTTTTTTTTTTTTTAAGAGAGAGAGAATTTTTTAAATATTTATTTTTTAATTTTCGGCGGACACAACATCTTTGTTTGTATGTGGTGCTGAGGATCGAACCTGGGCCGCAAGCATGCCAGGCGAGCTCGCTACCTCTTGAGCCACATCCCCAGCCCCGCATGCTGATCTTCACCCCAGGAATTGTCCCCTGGCTCACTAGGGCTGGTTGCCAGGAGGGACAGCTGGGGAGGATAGAGTGGAAAGGGGTGGAGCTGACCTCTTGACCTCTTTCCTCCTTTCCCTTGCAAACTGCCCTTACCCAGCCCCCTGGGGTCGGCATGTGGGGGGAGATGGAGAAAGTTCTTAGCAAACACCAACAAGATCGCAGGTCTGCTCCGGGCCTCCAGATCTTGAAGGATGATTGTTTTTCTTTGTGGTTCCTTTCTTTTCTTTTCCTCCTCTTTTGGGTGTGGTCCTGGGGGTTGAACCCAGGGCCTCAGACATCCCAGGCAAGCCCTCTACCTCTGAGCTGTGCTCCCAGCCCCTTCCTGGGGACTTGCATGGGACACTCTTCAAAGGTGTCCCTTTATGCTCCCTCTGGTGGCTCTGGGGCTTTCTGGGCCACATCCCCTCTCCCTGGTCTTCCACCTACATGGGAATCCCGTTATTCTTCTAAACTAGGAGGGATGGAGAGAACCAGCTCTGGGCTTCAGTGCTCTTGGTCTGGAGGCCCTTGGAACTCAGGCCGGTTTGAACCCAGGGGCACTCAATCACTGAGCCCCATCCCAACCCTTTCTTATATTTTATTTAGAGACAGGGTCTCGCTGAGTTGCTTAGGCCCTCGCCAAGTTGCTGAGGCTGGCCTTGAACTGGTGATCCTCCTGCCTCAGCCTCCTGAGCCTCTGGGATTACAGGCGTGTGCTACTGGCCCTGGCTGGACCAACCTGCTTGAGTCTTGGGGCAGTTTCTGGTTCTTGTCAAGGTAAGCAGGACCCTGCTGGGATGTGGTGACAATGGCTATTTATTGGGAAAGGACATAGGGACAGTGAAGGGAAGGCGCAGAAGCCCAGGAGAGACAAGCAACGCGTCAGAGAAAAGGTTTATTTCGGCTCACGTTTTTGGGGGTTCCAAACTTGTCCCCTGTGATGAGTCAGCTCACCGTCCCAGAGCACCGGGGTGGGGTCCCCAGTGGCCTAAGGGCCTCCCACCAGGCTCTCTCTCAAAGCCTCCACACCCAGCATGTCCCTGTGCATGCAGTCGGGGGGCTGCACCCACCCAGAGGTGGTCTTTGGACAAATTAGAAAAAGAACGCTGTAGTTGGGCACAGTGGCACACTCCTATGATCCCAGAGGCTCAGGAGGCTGAGACAGGAGGATTGTGAGTTCAAAGCCAGCTTTGCAATTTAGCGAGGCCCTAAGCAACTTAGTGAGACCCTGTCTCTAAATTAAAAAAAAAAAAAAAAAAAAATTCTTAAAGGGCTGAGGATGTGGTTCAGTGGTCAACTGCCCCTGGGTTCAATCCCTGGTACCAAAAAAGAAAAGAAAGAAAGGGAAGAAATCTCCTCCCTGGGGAAGTGCAGAGAGGAGGCCAGGCTGGAGTCCAGATTGCCCCAAGGGCACTGAGAAGGCCTGGGCCCCACAGTTCAGGACTATTAAGGAGCTTCCTGCATGGCTCTCCTCCCATGGAGACGGACAGTACCTCCCAGGACTGTGATTCCTCCTTGCAATCCGGAAGAGTCTAACTTGAGTAGCAGGAAAGAAGCCTTAGGAGCTTGTCCCCCCACCCCACCCCCCCCTTCCTCAGGGCTTGTTCTCTCCTGCCATCCTCCACGTGGCCACCGGAGGGCGCTCTCTATGCACAAGGCAACTCGGTCCCAGGAGGGGTTCAGGGTGCAGCCCCAGGCCCCCGCAGGCAGCTACCACTGCTTGCTCTTGGGGAGCAGGCTACTGCTCAGCCCTGGGCATTGCTCAGGCTGTTCTTCCTGCCCCTCTGCATCTAGGTTCAATTCATCTGCCACCCCCCCACACACACCTTCCCTGACCTTCCAACATGCCTGGTGGGTCAAGGCCTCTGCTGCATCTTCACAGCTCTTCCTAAAGCTCTCTCTTGGTACTTCTGTGCTGCTTTCAAACCCTAACGAAAAGTTGGATAACTTGGGCCTTAACAACAGGACCCGCCGTGGATCGCAGTGCATTAAACACAGCTCAATCCAGGACTTCGTAGTGCTGCTGAAAAGAACAATTGATGGCCCCGAGAGCGCCAAGCAGCATACACGTGACTCCGAAAACTAACAAAAGGAAGCATTTAGGTATTTAAGTATTTATTTTGTCTTTCCTTCTCAACTATGTCTCAGGGTAGTTATAGAAAAGGAGGACAAGTTTTCTTTCTGGAAATATCACAGCTAGTAATAAATAAAAGAAAGCATAATGATAGAATAAGAATATTACCACTTTTCAAGCACTGATAAATTGAAGAAAAAAGAAAAGGGCTGGGGATGGAGCTCAGTGGTACAATACCTCTGCTTTTGATCCCCAATACTGAAAAAAAAGTGTAATATAAATAATGTGATATACTTATAGATTTCTGTGCCAAAAATGCTATATATATATATATATATATATATATATATATATATATACACACACACACACACACACACACACACACACATATAGCATAAATATATATGTTTGGAGTTAAGTCTTGAGAATCCATGTCTGATAAGATTCCATCAAGATAATTAGCCCCTGATTTTTAAAAAAAAAAAAAGTGCAACACCACCTATAAAAGTCTTTCCCCAAAAATGTGAGGCCCAACTCAGCAAACAATGTAATGTGAGCCACATGTATAATTTAAACTTTACTGGTAGTCACCACTTAAAAAGAATAAAAAGAAACAGGTGGGCAGGGCGTGGTGGCGCATGCCTGTAATCTCAGTGGCTCTGGAGGCTGAGGCAGGAGGATCCTGAGCCTCAGCAACAGGGAGGCACTGAGCAACTCAGTGAGACCCTGCCTCTAAATAAAATACAAAATAGGGCTGGGGATGTGGCTCAGTGGTTGGGTGCCCCTGAGTTCAATCACTGGTACGAAAGAAAGAAAGAGAGAGAGAGAGAGAGAGAGAGAGAGGGGGGGGGGAAGGGAGAGAGAGAAAGAAAGAAAGAGGAATTGATTTTAGTAAAATGTTTTGTTTAGCCCAATGTATCTAAAATATATTTCAATATGTTATAAATATAAAAATAGTAATAGAGATATTTTATGTTCTTTTTTATTTTTTTTATCCCCAGTCCTTTTAATTTTTTTAGTTTGAGACAGGGTCTTGCTAAGCTGCTGAGGCTGGCCTCAAACTTGTGATCCTCCTGCCCCACCCTCCCAAGTTTCTGGAATTATAGGTGTGTGCCACTACACCCATCTTTTACATTCTTTTTAAACCAGGTGAAATCTGATGTGTAATTTACACTGCCAATATATTTCAGTTTAGATGCTAAACATCCATTGGAAACATTTGATCCCTCCGTGTCTTAGTCTACTTGGGCTTCTATAACAAAATACCACACAATAGACAGTTCATGAACAACAGAACTTGACTTCTTATGGTTCTGGAGTCTGGAAGTTGAAGATCAGGGGACACCAGATTCAGTGTCTGGTGAGGGTCCAAACACTTTCTCACTTAACCTTCAGTAGTGGGAGGGACAAGCGTGTCTCTTGGGTCTTTTTAATCAGGGCACTAATCCCATTCACGAGGGCTCCATCCACAGGACCTGGTCACCTCAAAGCCCTCTCCCGACATCCTCTCCAGAATGAGGATTTCTGCATGAATCTGGGGAGGGCATAAACATTCATACCACTTCAATATGTACACAGAATATGTCAAATGCACAATTAAAAGAAAAGATTCACAATTGAGGAAGTTATCCTGAACATTCCTAAGTTTTCCAATTACCGAAATCAATGACTTTTAAAAAAATCTATATTAATTAAAGTTAGCTTAAAGATTCAGTCCGTTGGTTGCACCACACATTTCAGAGACTCAGTAGTCATATGTGGCTAATGGCCACCTTAATGGACAGGGCAGTCCACAGGACAAGCAGGACAGAGGAATGTGCTAGCAACACCCTGAGGCTGTGGCCAGTACAGGGCCCTTGGTGGGGGGCTGGGGTGTAGCTAAGTGCTCACCTAGTGTAGCCCCAGCACTACGAAAAAAGAAAAAACGATCCAGATGGAGGAAAATTGTATAGGAGGACAAACAATCTTATTTCTTCAACAAATAAATTGCAAAAAGAGAGACAGGGAATGGGGGTAGAGCTCAGTGGTACAGTATATGATTAGCTGTGGGTTTAATGCCCCAGAATGGGGGGGGGGAGAGAAAATAAATATCAACTGAGTCAATTGCCTGTTAATTTGTAACAACTTCCAATCTAAAAGCTCACAGCAATAAACATATATTGCTGCAGTTTCTGAGAGTCAGGAATTGGGGGGGGCTTCACCCTGAGTTCTGACACTAGGGTTAAGGTCAGGGATAGGGTTAGGGTTAGGTTAGGGATAGTGTTTGGGAGATGGCAGAAAGCTGTGATGGTCTGCAGGATCTCCAAGCTCAACCAGGGCTAAAGGCTCCACTTCCAAGTTCACTTATGTAGCTGCTGCCAAGCTGAGTTCTTACAATTGGACTGCGACCTCAGTTCCTTGACAGAGGGGCCTCCTCACAGGCTGTTTCTCAAGACAAAGAAGATGGTTCCCCCCCAGAGCCAAATGGACAGAGACAGAGAGGCAGAGATAGAAAAAGACACACAGTCATAGACAGAGATGGATGCTATCTTATTTTGTGTTGCTATGACAAAATATAGGAGGCTGGCTACTATGTAAAGAAAAAAAAAAGGTTTATTTAGCTCATAGTTCTGGAGGTTTAAGATCATGGTGCCAACAACTTATCCACGCTGGTGAGGGTCACGTGGAGAATAGCATGACGATGGTGGGAACATGTGCAGAAAATTCAGGGGAGGTGTTGGGGATACTTAACTCCTCATTCTCCAGGGTTCTAATGCAGACCCAGGAGAACAACCTACTCCCTTGAGACAGCATTAGCCCATTCATGAAGAGCCAATGACCTAATGACCTTCCATGAGGCCCCACCTCTTAAAAAGCCTAGCTGCTCTAGAGGAACACACTGGGGACCACGCTTCCCACACAGGGACCTTCAGGAGACAAGCCACATGCAAACCAAGGCAGAGTCCAACAAGAAACGACAGCCTTTCAATCTAGAATCCCATCTGCCTGATGCTGCAGGTCTCGCAGACCAACCCAGGTACCATGTGGAGCTTAAGAGCTGAGTCTGGGCAGAGGGGGTGGAGCTTAAGAGCTGAGTCTGGGCAGAGGGGGTGGAGCTCGAGAGCTGAGCTTGGGGAGAGGGGTGGAGCTTGAGAGCTGGGCCGGGCAGAGAGACGACCTTCAGCAATGCCTTTGGGGGACTCACACCTGAGTCCCGACTGCAGAATAAAGAAGAGAGAGGCCTCTACTCTTCCAAAGCACAAGCTGCAAGGTATCCCCCTAGAGAATTACAGCTCCAGTTGGCTAGATGATAATTCCTACCATTAACTGAATTTCTGTGCCAGAAACGCTACACCAAGCACTTCACATACATATCTTACTCAGTCCTTACTGGAAGTTAGGTGCCACGTCCTCTTTACAGCTAAGGAAAGAAACTGTGTCCCCATGACTCACCGGCCGGTGTGTAGCATCTGTGACACCCTGCTTTCTGGGATGATCTGGATGATCCCTTTAAGTGCTATAATTCTGAGTCAGACTTCTAGCCACTCGCCCACCAGCTCTGTCTTGGGGCCAGCTATTTAACCCTTTGAACTTTGGTCCCCTGTGTTAACCCTTTGAACTTTGGTCCCCTGTGTTATCTGCAAAATCAAATGCTTGTGAAGATCTTAAGGAGATGAACTGTCTGGCTCAGTTCCTGTAAAGCATCCTCGTCTTTTATTTTGTTACTTTTTCTAAGTGCGCATGTGCCGTGGAGAGCTGAAGACAGCCTGGGAGGTCAGGATTTGACTCATGGGCCGGGAATAGCCCAGTCAGAGGGATCACTTGATGAAGAGAGCATAGGTGTCACAGAGAGTGGAAGGAGAACCAAATATCTGGAGAAGAAAACCCTGGTCCCCAGAATCTCAGGATGCAGGGGTCTTCAGGAGACTGGGGAGGACTATTCAAGATGGTCTAATGGAGGGAGGGGACAATGGGAGTCAAAGTGGGGATGAAGAGGGCATGTACAGAGGGCAGGCCAAATTCAAATGACAGGGCTGGGGCTGGGGGTGCAGCTCTGTGATGGGAGCACTCACCTAGCATGCATGAGGCCCTGGGTTTGACCCTCAGTCTTGGGGAGGGGTGGAGAGAAAGGGGAAGAGAGAGAGAGAAAGAGAAGAGGAGCAGGGAGGTGACAGGGATCAACTGTTCCATCTACTGATGATAAAGTACATCTGATCAAGAAAGGGGACAAACCATTAGCTCTCCCAAATAAAAGACTGAAATAAACCAGCACCAAGGGTAAAATCCACATGCAGGACCCAACGGTAAAGAGCAAAGAGCATTTACAAAACCCAGAGAAGCCAAAGGATATTTCCAGTATTAATAGCACCAATGTTCACTTGATGGTTTCAAAGTACTTTCCCATCGCTTGTCCCATGGGACCTCTAATGGGTGAGAAGACAGTGAGATCTGAATATGCAGTCAGGGGACCTGATCATGCCCCTTACCAGCTTCAGGATTGTGGTCGTCAGATTTCCATGGCTGTTTTTTAACAAAATACCCAAGATAAACAACTTAAAAAGAGGAAAGGTTTGTTTGTGCTCACGGTTTCAAAGCGGTTTCAAAGTTTTCTCTCTATGGTTGCTTGGCCCTGTTGCTTTGGGTCTGTGGCAGCACCGTATAACATGGCAGGAGCACATGCTCTCCTATGGTGACTGGAAGCAAAGGAAAAGAGGAAGAAAATGGGGTCCCCATATCCCCCTTCAAAGGTGTGTCCCTAATGACATAACTTCTTTCCAATGGGCTCCACCTTCTAAAGGTTCTACCATCTCCCAGTAGCACCCCAGGCTGGAGACCAAGGGGGTGGAGCTTGGGAGCTGGGCCTGGGGAGAGGGGGTGGAGCTTGAGAGCTGGGCCTGGGGAGAGGGGGTGGAGCTTGAGAGCTGGGCCTGGGGAGAGGGGGTGGAGCTTGAGAGCTGGGCCAGGCAGAGGGACGACCTTCAGCAATGCCTTTGGGGGACATTTCAGATAGGGCAGGGATCTGGCCCAAGTCGGCGAACCTCTCAGAATTTACTTTCCCCTGTAAAGTGCCTAAATACTCACACCTACCCTCATCTCCCCAGCCAGATCCTGTTCCCATCCCACACTCCACCGTGGCCAATCTACAAAATGCAGCAGCCACTTGGCTGCATCCTCTGGACACTTAAGGATGCTGAAAACCACTGTTTTTCTCTGCCTGGCAGGGACATCCAGGAGTAAAGTCATCTTTTAACTCTTCACGCCCCCTCATCCTCCAGGGAGATCTAGATGCCAGAATCTACTCTGGAAGTCTCAGAATGGAGACTGGAACCAGTCGACTGGCCTTGTGAGTAGCCTGGAGGTGGGACTTATGGTGACACCTGGCTTCTCCGTGGTTTGGACATAAGGAGGAGTTGGAACTTTGGGAAACTTTCAGTTCTGATCATCTGTGGAGACCAGAAATGGGTGAGTGTTACACCAATCCAGGTGGCCAAGGGTGAGGCTCCCGATGAAATGGGTGAGATTAGAGTGTGATTGGTCTCCCCCTGTTGCCACTAGTGCCCTTTTTCCTGGAAACTTAACTTTTATAATGCTTTTCTGCAATGGGGTATAGGCCATCTTTTTTTTTTTTTAATTTAAGTTGTAGATGTACACATACCTTCATTTTATTTATTTATTTTTTTATGTGGTGCTGAGGATAGAACCCAGTACCCCACAAGTGGAAGGCAAGCGCTCTGCCAACGAGCCACAAGCCCAGCCCCAAGACCATCTTAACCATACCTTTGTGGCACACCAAGTGGTAGCAGTACAGAAAACAGAAATGGGGGATGTTCTATGTTGAATGACTTATCAGTTACTTTGGGGCCCATGCAAGCTCCATTTCCACCCCATCCTCATCCCTTTAGCCCTTGGTGGGGTTGTGTTTGCCTCTAGGACCACAGGCCTCCACCTTATCACATGAGCATAGCCAATGGAATCAGGTCGCCAGGTTATGGAGTTATCCCCTTGCAAAGTACAAAAATGGAATGAGTCGGGTGAGCCATAAACCTTGGTGGGAAGAGGGGGTGGAGCTTGAGAGCTGGGCCTGGGAAGAGGGGGTGGAGCTTGAGAGCTGGGCCTGGGGAGAGGGGGTGGGGAGCTTGGGAGCTGGGCCTGGGGAGAGGGGGTGGAGCTTGGGAGCTGGGCCTGGGGAGAAGGGGTGGAGCTTGAGAGCTGGGCCTGGCAGAAGGACCACCTTCAGCAGGCCTCGGGATTCTTCCACATCCCCCACATCTTTGCACGGAGGAGGGTCTTGTCCTTCACTTTCCTGGCTCCTTCTAGGATGGAACTGCAGACATGCTAATCTCACTTTATAGATGAGATACTGAGCCTCTCAGGAGTTAGGAGCTGGGTCCCCAGGTTATGAGTCAGGGGCTCAGGCTGTACTAGCTCCTGGATGCACAGGTCCATGCTTCATATTTCCTCCCACGCTTCTTCCCACCCACCCAGGTCGCTGGGGGTGAGGCCTGGTGGGTGCGCTTGGTCTAGTTTCCACGGTGCACCTGGCAGTCTTTATGGTGCTGCCCTAAGAGGGCCTAGGCCTGAGCCAGGGAGAGAAGAGATGGGGACAGGGTCTACTAGGGCCCTGTGCACCTAGGGGGACAGGGCTGCTCCCCACCGCCACCCCGCAGTGCTGAGAGGATCCAGAAGTCTTGGCCCTGCTCAGCTCTCATCAGCCTCACAACTTCTGCCTCTTCAGGTCTCTTGTTTCAGGGCTTTTCAGCTTTTTCTGATCCCTTTGCAGCCTTTCTGTAGAGAGGGTGGCCCCTGGAGGAGCGCGACTTTGGGGCCCTTGGGGACTCCTGGACCCACATAGAGATGCTGTGGGGCGGGGTGACCACTAAGTCAGAAACCAACTCTCCGCGCAAACCCAAGTCACCCCACGCCCCCTGTCCCGTTCCTCAGGCGGACCTGAGGCGGGGTCTGGTGGGCACTCTGCACCGCCACCCCCGGCACCGGCTGCCGCGGCCACACTGCCCCTGGTCTCCCCGCTTCGCGAGTCCCCGGCCGGACTGGAGTCCGCTCCAGATCCGTCCCGGGTTTCCTCCGCGGCGCTGGGATCTCCGCCCCTCGGAGCCGCCGGGCCGCGGCGGCCGCGGCGGAGCGTCGCCCCGGGAGACGCACGCGCCACCTGAACCCTGATCAGCCGTCCGGCGCTGAACTGCGGCCCAGACCCGGCGTCTGCACTCGAAGTCCCAGTCGGGATCCGACGGCGCGGCCCAGTCCCGGCTCGTCCTCCGCCCTTGACTCTCGGGGCGCCTAGTGGCCCCCACTCCGCGCCGCGGGCCACCTGCGCTTCTCACCACCGCGCCCCGGGCTCCCGCAGGTAGGGCAGCACTGCGCCGGGGCCAGGGGGCTGGCCTGCTCCTCGACCGCTGAATAGGGCCAGCAGAAGGCCACCGCCCTCCAGGGGACAAAGCGACCGCCTCCCCTGCGGCCCAACCCCTCCCTGTCAGGTGACCTAGATAACTAGAGGAAGACTTCTCCTCAGGTGTCCCAAGGCTGTGTGCCCTCATCCCTCCCAACTGTCCTCCGTCGCCATTCCGCTCCCACCTGTCCTTAGGGTCCAATGCCAGGGGGATCCCTGCCAAGTAGACCGCTTCCCTCGGAATCTCCCTCCCACCTGCTCCACTTCAAGTTCTCCCTCCCGGAAAGGGGAGGAGGCCAGACCCTCCCCCGAGAAGACTCTCCAGCCCGGCCTCCTCCTCTCGGATTGCCGCCCCCCTGGGACAAACCCCTCCCCCACTCGCTGAGCTGTCGTTCTGGTCCCCTGCCTCTGCCCCGGGCGCTTTCCAGACCTCCCCGCTTCGTGCTGTCCCCCCTCTCGGTTTTCCGTGTGTTCTCTCCCAGCCTCTTCTGACTTTATCCTCCTCTTGACTCGTACCCTCTCTCCCCCCAGCCACCCTGGGAAGAAGTGGGTGTGTCACGATTTCTATTTATGGTCCCCCTGGGAAGGCAATGCCCTGCTAAGAGTTTTTTCTTTTCTCCTTACCGGGAATCAGGTGTCACGTTTGATTCCCGGTGGAAACCTCCTCCGGCTCCCTCTCTCGTCCCCTCCAGCCCCGCATCTCCTGGCGCCCTTTGTCTCCTATCTGCTTCCCTTCCTGTCCCTTTGCTCTCATCTTTGGGCTCTTTGTGTAGCTGCCTTCTTTGTCTCCGCCTTGCTGCATCTTTCCTCCCTTCCCTCGGACACCTTCCTCCCATAGTTCTGAAAAGCCATCAGCTTCAAGGGCACCAATATTTCAGGTGGGGAGGGGGCGGTGAAAGTGGAGTGGAGGGTGAGCTCCCAGCATGCCCAGTACTGACTCCCATCACCCACTTCCTTGGAGCAATCATTTATATTTTTGAGATTAAAAGAATGCCCCCAAGGAGGTGGGATGAGGGAGGATGCCCCCCTTCCTGGAGTTTGGTTCAGGACTTTCCTGAACTACATTTCCCACAGTGCCTTGGGGGCATGGGATTGCCTCTGCCTCTGCCTCTGCCTGGACACCTTATGGAAGTTAGTTTCAGAGTACCAGATTACAGGGTGTTGTGCTAGGGGGTGGAAAGAGAAGGGAGCAAGATTTATGGGACCAGCTGCGTGTGGTGGTGCACACCTATAATCCTAGTGGCTTAGGAGGCTCAGGCAGGAGGATTGTGAGTTCAAGGCCAGTCTCAGCAATTTAGTGAGGCCCTAAGCAAGTCAGCCAGACCCTGTATTAACAGAAAATATTTAAAAAAATATTTTGAACTCAGTGGTTAATTCCCCCTGAGTTTAATTCCCAGTAAAAAAGAAAGAAAGAAAGAAAGAATTATGGGGCCAGCCCACAGTTTGGTTTGTCCTGAAACCCCTGATCCACCTTGCTCTCAGTATTCACCTCAAGGTCTAGGGACCTTGAAACCTTTGTTTATGTCCCCCACAAAGGAACAAGGGTAGAGGGAGGGTCTGGAAAGAAAGAAGAGGGAAGAATTGGAAAGTCTTCCTTGTTCCCTGTGACCTCAGGAGCTCCCCACCCTCACTTCTCACTTTCCCACTCTCACCCAAACCGCCTGATCTGAGATGTAGAACAGTCATTTACAGGAGGCTCTTCCGCCCCTGGAGTCTCTCCATTCTGAAAGCAAGAGAGGGAATGGAGCCTAATGTCTTGAATTAGGCAGACGGGTTCCAGGTACAGGTTGCTCAAGATTTTCCCCCTAGTGGACAGTGGAGTATTGCTGGTGTCACCCTGGAATCAGCAGCTTGTACTTCCCAAGGACCCAGGGATGACTAGCTCAGGTTGTCTGGAGATGCAAATAGGAGCCAGGAACTAACCTGTGCATCTCCAGGACCCGTGTCCTCAGAGCCTGGCACTTAGGTGGTTCCTGGGTGTGTAGGTCTGTGTGCTGGTATAGAGTTGCTGGCAGTGGGTAGGGGAGCAAGTGTTGCCCCCTGCCCCCACAATCCCATCTCTGCATCTAGATCAGTTTAGACCACTTGGGACCTCTGACTCCTGGTATTTCCTCTCCTCACTCTCTGTGTAGGTTTTGTGACCCAGTTACACCAAAAGAGGTCTCCTCGGCTGGCCTAGGAGCCTGGAAATTTTAACTTTTAGTGTGGTTTTACCCAAGCCAAGTCACCTTGGGCAAGCCTCAGTTTGCTTATTAAGGAAAGGAAAGTGTTGAGCCTCCTGGTCAGTAATGGCCCTTGCAGGTGCTTTAAAACCTCTGAATCTGGATTCCCCTTCCCTCTGAATTCTGGCCTGATGTTTCGGGAGAGCCTTAAGCACTGAAATCAGATTAGAAAGAACTGGAAAAGAAAGAGGAATGCAGAGATCTCCCTTTTGAAGCTCTGTGTGTATAGCAAGTGTTTACATAGGCTGTATCTATGGCATAGGAGCTTAAAGCCACCCCCCAATTACCCCATAGTTCCCCAAACATGTTTTTTTTTGTTTTATTTTTAGTACTAAAAATTGAACCAAGAGCCCTTTGCCATTAAGGTGCATCCCCAGTCCTTTCTATTTTTTAATTTTGAGACAGAGCCTCCCTAAGTTGCTGAGAGTCTCGCCAAATAGATGAAGATGGCCTTGAACTTGCCATCCTTCTGCCTCAGCCTCCCAGTTCACTGGGATTACAGGCATGCATGAGCCACCACACTTGGTTGGCTATGCTTTGTTTTAAAAAAATCCAGCCAAGCCTATCATTATTCCCAACAGAGTAGCTGGTCTATGTCCCCTGGTAGGTTGGTTAATGGAGCTTTTATTTAGGTTATATGAGAGAGTGTTATAATTGGCTGAAAGTGAGAGGAGGGAGGATTTGATTGGTTGGCTTGATTTGGAGAAGACAGATCTAGAATCAGGAGTCATCAGGACATGGGCAGGGGGTTTTCTCTTTCGCTCTGTCTCCAGGCAAGGAAAATAGAAGAGAGTGTTGGATCCACAAGGGGTTGACCCAAATGAAGGACTTTGAGGAATGGAAAGGGCAAAGAAATTCCTGGGTGGGAGATGATGCCAGGGATTTTTAAAAGGGGGGGGGGAGGGGCTCTGCCCTTCTGTCTTTGGAGGGGAAGTGAATAGGCAGAGGGTCTGATCATGGTGAGTGTTTTGTTTGCTGGACCTACACTGCCTATTTCAAAATCACCATTGAGCCCTGGACTGGAGCCAAAGTCACACCATGGGGAGGTGGAATAATTTCAAACAGGAAAAAGTAAAGGTGGCAGGGTTGATTGGCCTGAGAGAAACGGCATTGATTCTAAAGCAGCTGTCCGTCTGTACACTTCGGTTGTCAGGTTCACATGTGTATGTCAGGGGGATAGGGTAGTTCACTGGAGCAGTACTGTGAAGGAGATCTGGGGTCTCCAACCTCCTGACCTTTTGCCCAGGTCTCCCTAGGAGCTGACTGGGCACAGAGGGGATCTGGGGCTAGTCTCTGGGGAACTCACTAGGGATTCCTGAGTTTGTGACTATTAAGGACATCCTGGTAAGAGTGGATCAGGTAGAACTGAGACTGGGAGCTAGTGGGAAGAGGGAAGGATTTGAAAGTCCTCCATGACCAGGATCAATGCAGGGAGCAGAAAAAAAAAAATGAGTATGTGTGTAGGAAGGGGTTATTGGGACATTGTGTAGGGAATCTGATATGGGAAACATGGGTCTCTGATCCTGTGCTGGGTTCTCTCCTGTAGTGCCGTGAAGCTGGAAGCCAACTGGGCCATAGGCACATTGGAGGTCCTTAACCCAGAAAAAGATTCTGCTTCAGATGTGAAGATGATCTCCAATGTCCAGCCACAGGAGACCCAGGCCAACTCCAGGTCCGGATTAGGGCTTGAGGTTGAGACCAAGCCTCCAAGGACTGATCCAGGGCATGAAGCCCAGGCCAAGTTCTTGCAGGCCGAGCCCAGGACCAGATCATGACCGGAGGCAGAGGCTGACCAGTTGGACTTCCGGTAGCTACAGAACGGAGTTTGAGGAGGTGCCGGCCATCTGGAGGGGCGGGGCGGGGCGAGTAAGGGGGTGCATCTGTGGGGGCTTGAACTACCTCCTGAATGGCTATCACAGCTGGCCCCAGGATCTGTCTCGCCTGGAGGTGCAAGCCAAGGGAAACAGGGGTGTGATGAAAGGGGCAGGGCCTGGATGAAAAGAGGTGAAGCCAGGTTTCGGGGTTTGGATCTTAGGCCAGCTTTTCCTCGTCCCTCATCCGTTTACTGAGAAAATATAGCCAGTTTGGGGACCAAGGCCTAGGACATGCGGGTCTAGGGGCTAGGTCAGTGAGGGTACCGTGGGGAAGAAGTCCATACAGCAAAGGAACCAAAGGGACCCGTGACACTTTCGGAGTTTGAGGATCCCATTGAGACTTTCTGGGGACAGGAACACAAAAGGAAGGGGGCAAACAAGAGAAAGTAGCCTACAGGTGGGAGCAGCTAGACTGGGACCAGGACCTGTGAATAGACGGAATCTGGCCTAAATGATCTACTTGGAAGCTCAGGGCAGCACCAACTGAGTTGGGGCTGTAGAGCCGTGAAGGGGAAGCAGTATTCGAGCTAAGGGCTAAGGGACGTGACAAGCTCTTGGGGATGGAGCCAAGAAAAGGGAGTGGTGAGCCGTCTGGGACCTTTTGCAAGCGGAGTTGGAGCGTCTCTCCAGCGGTGGAAGAGCCCCGGTTGTTCTACCTTCTTAGGAATCTGAAACCTAAGTGCTCAGGAGAGTTCCCAGGGCCTCCCGGGTCTGGCCTGGTACTGGGGCCGTGACGAAGGAAGAGTGAGTGTGCAAGTCCTGTAGCGAGAGGCCTGGCGGAGACAGGATTGGGATACCCCCTGACGACCTTGGTCTGCAGACCCCGCTGGAGTCGGTGAACTTGATCGACGCTGGTGGAGGGGCTGCGCTTGGCGCCCTGGGAGCGCAGCAAGAGCGTGGCCCGGCTTCTGCAGAGCTTCTGCTCACAGCTGGTCAAACGACAGCAGCTGGGGGTCAAGGTGGCCCAGGAGCTGAAGGAATACCGCTAATCACCAAGCAGGTGAGAAGGACTGAGGAGCGTGGAGCGCAGGACCTCAGCTGGGGTGCGTTTCCAGTCCACTCCCCACTCCCAGCCCCAAACCGTTAGTCCTTACTTCCCGACTTCCGTGACCCGGCCACCCCTACGGGGATCCTGACACCCTTCACGGGCCCAAACATCCCAATTAGAGCCCTTTCCCTCCCTCTTGGCCGCTCTCATTTTACTTATTGATTTGCTTTCCTTGGCTTCACTCCCCTCGGGTATCCAAAGACCCATACCCCAGGTCTCAGGGCTACTCCATACTGATCCCGCCTCTCGCTGGGGATCCAGGTATTCAAAGCCATTGCCTCTGGCCATCCCTGCTACCTGCCTGGACCCAGTCGGTCCTCCCAAAGGGCCCAGCTGGGAGCCGGTAGGCGCGAGTGTGGAGTGAAGATGCAGAGAAGCCTGACTCTCCAGCGACCCCCGCCCGCCCCACCTCTGCCACGCGCTCACTCGTGACCCCGCAGGGGATCCTTTTGCTTTGGTTCAACGCGTTGGCGCTGCTGGCGGGCCTGGGCGCCCGGCTGGCGGTTCTGCAGGCCTCTGGCACCTTGTCGCCGCTGCCACAGAGGCCGTGTCCGAGGCAGGCGTTGAAGTGGCACGTCTTCTGCTATCGCCTTCCGTGCAACGCGACGTGCTCCGGGAGGGACTGGACCCGCAGCCCTACCATCCCCAAAGAAGCAACCTGCGCCTTCTGGCGGCGAAAGGCCTGGAGTGTCGCGTGGACAGCCTCGCGCGCCTGTGCGTGCTCACGCTGTGCACGAGCCCCTTCCCTACCCCGCAAGGCGGCGACCGCCGGTGGCGCTCCCTCAACATCTACTGCTTTGGCAGCGACATTGCGCAGGTGCAGAGCCAGCTGCTGGGGCACCTGCAGCGCCTGTCTCACCGGCCTCTACGTCTTGTGCCAACTCTTCCTGACGCCCCAGCTGTGGTCACAGCTGGCTTATTTCTACCAGGCCTGGGGCTTGGGCTGGTCCAGAGTTATATGGAACAATACCAGCTGGAGGCCGACACGTGAGGCTTCTCTTCCCAGAGAAAAGCGGAAAAGCACTCAGTGTTGCTTCCTTCCTCAAATCCCCAGCCAGCCCGTGCCTACCATTTCCAAGCTCCACCCCCTCAGAAGTTGGCTCTGTCCCCCTACCTTAAGGCATGTAGGTCCTCCCCTTTCCCTTTTCTCAACTGGGCCATCTCCTAGCTCCCCCAAATGCCCTTTCCCACTCCAGACTTGACCTCTGAAGATGGGGGAGCCCCTTTGCTCCCTATTACCCACTCCCTTCTCTTCCAAGAATGATGGATCCCTTCAGAGCCCTGTCCATCTTCCCATGATTCCTGGCTTCTCCCTTCTGTACCCATCAGATGGAAATGGCAGCATTGTGTGTGTGATGCCCAGGTCCCAGCGGGGGACACAGCCAACCCAATCCATGTTCTTTCTCTTCCTCTTCCCCTTCTGAAGCTTCAGAACTGGCCCAGGGTGCTCTTCCTCACTGGCCCCTCAGTCTTCTAGATTAGTGTCCTTTTTCTGCTTCTTATTCACCCCCATTTTCTTCCTCCCTGGACATTCCTGTCACTTAGCTCCTAAACACCAGTTTTTCTGCTCCTCCCCCCTTTTTCTTCTGTTCCCTTCCCCATTACCAGAGAGAGAGGTTGTAAATAAAATATATTTATAATGATCCCCCACTTGGGATCCTGTTTACTTTTGGTGGTGTGCTTTCCTCAGCTTGCCACACTGGCTGGGTTTTGCTCCAAACTGGAATGATGTTGTTTTTCTCGAGGGTTGTTTCCTAAGGTCCCCATCTAACTAGAGGGTCCAGCCAGAAACTGGTGCAACCAAACCTGGCCTAGGGGCTGTCCCTCAACCTGGCATAGGGTTTTTCAGGTTCCAACCAGTCTACCTTCTAGGAGAACAGGAACCCCCACCTCCCTGTACTTCTGCACACTGTTCCTCTGGATTATGTATGCTATTTAGACTTTGAGAGTCTTCTATATAAATGCAAGTATTAACCACTGCATTTGTACAGTGCTGTCTCCTATACTGGATCCCACACCAAAGTCAAAAGAAGGAAACAGGCTTAGAAGGGTCCAAGTGACTTCTTTGAAGTCCCTGTTAATAGCTGGACCTAGAACTAGGTGTGCCAAGGCCACAGCATGCCCAGAACCTCGCTCTGTGTGTTGGTATTAGCTTTGGACTTCTTGTTGGACAGTGGACAGTTGCTAGGGAAGTGTGGATCCAGCTCGGGGTTTGCTGGGGATGGAATCCAAGATGTGGGCAGAGGAGGGCGCCAGTGGGTGGGAAAAGGTGGGCAAAGGGAACAGCTACTGTCACTATTCACAGCTCCAGCTCTGTGGCTACGCTGCTCTGCCTTGGCTGCCTCCTGCCCCTTCCTTGCCATTTCCACCATGGCCGTATGGCAATAAAATGGACCTTTTGCCCACCCCTTGTGTGTGTTTCACTTCTTCTTAGTGGGGAGGGATGTAACATATTATCTTCCCCCCTTCCCCAGCAGCCTGTATTAGAGAGGATCTCTAAGCCCCGTGGCAATGGGGCTAATGACTTCCTGGTGTGTGGGGGGGAGCTGGGGAGGGCTGCTGGCCATTGTGCGCCCCCACCTCCACCAAGCGGAGGAAAGAAGCGGTTGCTCAGAACCCAGGCGGGCTGCGACGCGGCGCCCGGATTAAGCCGGGGCTTCGTTTTCGCCTAGACCTGGAAGTCGGCTGTTACCCAAATTCTGTGGGATCGTCTCCCAAGTTCATCTTGGCATCCAGGAACGGCCTCTCTCAACACCAGGATCCAAGCGCCTAACTCCCATCCCTCGACTCGTTTTCCAGCCGCTCTCGCTTTCCCCATTTCTGGGTGGACAACGCGTGGTTGGGGGAGGAGGTGGAAGGAGCCTGGGTACCGCCCCCACTCCCCCGGGAGGGAGCGGAGCTCCAGAGCGGCGGAGACTGCGATCCCGAAAAGTAACACACGGGGGCGCCAGGACCAGTGCGGACGCGGGCGAGGCATCGCAAGGTGGTTTCCGTCCGTGTGAGTGTGTCCATGGGCGTCTTTGTGTGTCTGCGTTTCTGTACCTATGTATACAAGTCAGGGGGTGTCTGGGTGGATGCATTCGGGACAACATACCTGGTGTACCCCCAGAAACAGGTACCCCAGGTGGCTTCTTGATGTAGACAATGCTTGATATGTTACTATGTATGTGTAGACGGGGAGGCAGGCGACTTGTGTATATTGTCACGTGTGTACAGTGCAGACTGTAAGTCCCTGAAAATGCGTCTTCGATTTTTGAAGTCACATTTCTTGAGGGTTTTGATCCCCTTCCTGCCACTCTGTAAGAGGAATGAGGGCTCTCAATTGCTCTGGACAAACCCTCAGCATTAAGTCTGAGTGACTGTGCTAAGCTAGGTGTGACATTGTGTTTGTTAAGTGGGTGTGTCTCAGAATTTTAGTGTAACTCTATATGACAGTGTGTTGTGTGTGTGACAGGTGGACTTTGGAGGGGGCTGGATCATGATTATGGACGTGCACAATTTCTTTTCTCTTGTTAGTTTGTGGATGCCACCTTCGTGATGTTTGTGTTTGTATGTTAGTGTGTGTGTGTGTGTGTCCTTTTCTCATTCTCTCCAGGAGTTGTCTCTCTTTGTGTCTCTCCCCATCTCTGTCTCTTTCTCTTTTTCCTTTTCTTGGTGACTCATCTCTGCGGCGTTGCCTCCCCCGGTTTGCAGGGCCTCCCCTCCCCCATTCAGAAGTGGGTGGGGGTCTGAAGCAATGAGACCCTGGGATTAAAAATCAGGGTGAGAATCCCCTTCCCATTGCTCATCATTCCAGACCCTCCAGTGGCCTCCAGCCCCTTCCCTGGACTTCCCACCCCTGGAGTGACTAGGGAGTAGGGCAATAATGTATGTATTCTAAATGGGGCCATTATCAGGGGGTCTTCAGCACCTCCTTTCACTTCAAAGTGGAGACCCCTGCCCTCTCATAAATGCCCCCTCTATGACTGTCCCCCCATATGGCTGACGCAATGAAAGGCTGCAGAGGTGAGTCACCGGTTGAGGGAGGGGGAGGGGAAGAAGGGGATGATGAACTGCGGGGGCCCTGAGCCCCTGCCCTTTCTTTCTCTCCCAGATTTTTCAGGGAAAAGACTCAATGCTCTGCCCCAACCCCCTGGTTTTCCAAACCTTCAGCTTTGGATCACTACTTTACTGAACCCTATCTTCTCCTTCTACCCTCCTGGGGAGTATGGCAGAATCAGAAACAAAGATAAAGAGAGATGGATTCATACAAACCACTCAGAGCAAACACCAGGCATCCATCCCCATCTCAGCTCTGCCCTTTCTAGCTTTCTCTCCATTTCTCTTTCTTTCCTGCCATCTTCTCCTTTCCCTGATCCCAGGAACCTGTCCCTAATCCATATCTCTTCCAGAAGCTCCTAGAGGGAGCTCATTCCAGGGAGGTGAAGATGTGTGAATGAGGTGAGCCAGGTCAGAAACCTGGGGGAGAGAGGCAGACCCACAGTCCATAGACCCAACCATCAATATTCAGATAATGGAATCACCAAGCCTATTGCCTTTGGTGCCCTGAGTTTCCACCTTGTCTCCTCCATACCTTACCCCACGATGGCTGAGGCTCTGGGATATTGATATCTGAGAGAGTTCCTGTTGAGAACCCTGGGAGTAAGTGGAGGCATGCAGGGGTGTGGGGTTGGGTGAAATGGAGGAGTGGGGAATGCTCTGAAAACCAGGGACAAGGACCCACAACTTGGGGACAGCAGATAAGTAACTTGGATTCTGAAGCTTTATGGCATAGAGATCTAGAAACAAATAGGGGGAGGAGCAAGAAAGAACAAGGCACATGGAAGTCCACATAATCACCAGCATATACCAGTAGGCATGAAAGAACCCAGATAAATGCACAAAGACACACATACATATATACACATTCTGGGGCACCACCAAGCCAGGCATACCTTTCAGACACCAACAGGTACTCAGAATTGGGTGCAAAGACTCAAAGTTGCCCAGGTGGACAGACATCCCAAAGAAATCAGAACCTACGCAGATATCTGGAAACAGGCAGAAACAGTCACATGCCTTGGAAGAGAAGAGCCCCTGTTTAAATAGAAAACAGTGCCATGACCATCCACTCTCAATCTGATGCAACACACAATTTGTTTCCCTCATGCCCTTTCTTTTTCTTCCCCACTATGGGTCTTTCTAATTTCTGTACACATATACAGAAAGAAGCTGAGAGGCATATCAGGAGCCTTGACACATATGTATACACATACACACACACACACACACACACACACACAGGTGCCATGTACACACATATACAAACCCAGGGGTTTACAGAATGTGTCTAGGTGCTTGTCTCCCCTCTTCTTGCATTTAAATTCTTATTCCCGTCAGTCAGCCCTCTTGGCTCCCCCCGCCCCAGATGTCTGACACATCTCTCTGATTCATTCAAGGTGACATGACCCACTCCCCATCCCACTACTGCCTGTAATGCAACAGTCTGAGAAGATGAAGGCAAGGGATCTGAGGGGAATCCAGAGGGCCAGGGGAGGCCCTGGAGAGTTGTGGGAGGGGGTATGTGAAGCACTGCCAAGAGGGTCTCTTGATCCCTTTTCCTTCCTTCCTTTGGGTTCTCCAGTCACCTTGGTTCTCAGTAGTTTTTTTTTTTTTTCCCTCTTCTCCTTCAGCCTGCTTCTTCCACCTGCTCCAGGTTCCTTCCTTCTTTCCCTCTCCCTGCCCCCATCTCTTTTCTCTCTCCACTCCTCCCCACTTCTTTCCCCGCAGAGCTGATGGGCTCTCTTCTGGGAAAGTCGAGCCACTGATGGAAGCGAGAAGCCTCTGCTGGCTATAGAGGGAAAGCACGTGAGTGTGCAAGTGTGCGAATGTGTGTGTTGGGGGGACACAGAATGAAGGTCAGTACTAGGAACAGATGAGGAGGGGGGCTCGGACTGGCTCCAAAAGGGGCTATGAGCCCCCACAGACAGCTCGGATCCTGGTTTCCAGAGTCTCGGGATGCCTTGCGTGTGCCCACGAACACCCCTGTGTCCGCAGTTCTTGTGTGTCTGGTGTGTGTCATTGTCACTCCCCCCTTTCCCTGCCCACGCCCCCGCACTGCTCCTCTCTGCCTGCACCGCAGCCCCCTCCTGTCTCCCTCCCTCTCCTTCATTCCTGCAGTGGCTGCTCCCCTGGCCACCTTTCCCTCTCCCCAATCCCCTCCCCATTTCCGTCCTCCCCCCACCCCCGCCCACGCCTGGTCTCCCTTCACCGGACCCAGCTTGCTGATGGATTCTCTCTGCGCAATCCGTGCGTCATCGCCCCCAACTCCCGGAACCTCTAACTATCCAAGCCCCCAGCCCCAACCCCTCTGGCAGGAGATACGGTCCAAGGGTCTGGTGGCAGAGAGGGTCTAACTGTGACGTCGCAGCCCCCCTCCCATTGCGTTCAAACCTTCCCTTTAAGTGGTGGAGAGAGAAGGAGTTGAGTCACCCCCCTACCTGCGCAACCCCCTCCCCACCTGGTCTGGTCTCGCCCTCCAAACGTCCTTGGGTAGGGGGAGCCGCGGGAGGGAAAGAAGCTGGAGGAGGGTGGGAAGTGGACTGAGGAAGAGGTACAGCGTGGGGCCTTGACAAGCACGGTAGTCAGCCGGACAGAAGGACAGACACACCTTTTTCTCCAGACAAGAGCCGGTTGTGAACAGACACGACTCAGAGGCACACATCCTCAGTCTTTCCCTTTTCTCTTCTGACTCGACTCGGACCCTTTCCAATGTGTACAAAAACCGCAAGATCCACCCATCTGCGGGGGACCTGAGCCAGCACCCCGCACCGCAGATCCGTGGACAGCGCCCTCAGGAGAGCAGATCCGCCCCTCTTCTCAGGTTCACGCCGTCCTTGGGCGTGTTCCCCAAGGACCATGAGGTCGAGGGGTAGGGAGTCCAGACCCCTTCGTAGCTTTCAAATCCTTATTCTCCCCCTCCCCAGTATTAATCTCCTACTGATGCCCAGTCAGACGCTGGGGGTGCCCCCTTCCTATTCAGCTCAGCAACGCAAGCTTGGCAGCTGCAAGTTGTTTTGTAACCCACCCTCCCGCCTTCTAGCGCCTCTGCATCCACCCTTCCATTCATTCTCCCATTCATTCATTCATCCTTTTCTCCTCGTCCCTCCTTCATTCATTCATAGCCCCTTGCCCCGCCCTTCTCAGCATTCATTCATTCATTCATTCATTCATTTCCCGGAGCTTGGCTAGCGCACGCCCCTCCAGCTGAGGCCCTCAGTGCGCAGGCGCAGGCCGGGAGAGTCACGCACTCTCCAATCGCTGGGCGTCCTCCCTCCACCAGGCGCCCGCCCGCTTCCCCATGAATGAACATTGACGTCAATGGGGCGGGGCGCACCCACGTGACCCCGCACGCTCCCCTTTATAA